TTTATAAATTGAATAAATTATTTTTACTTACATTTATTTAACTTTAAAAATCTTAACCACCTCCAAGCGGCCTCGAACCTGCGATTTCAGAACCAGAACCAGTAGTCTTCACGTGACGCCACAGCCGACATTTGTAAGAAAAGCAATTAATTGCGTTTTATTTTTGGCTTTGGCAATTCAAAGGCAGATGTCGCTGATCGCCTAAGTTCTTCGAAATTGTCGAACTGGTAGGCACATACTAGTTAATGAACTAGAATTTTTTCTAACTGGTTTGGCTTTTCACTGCAGGGTATTACCCGATCGGTAAACCCTTTTCCGCGCTATTAGAATTTCGAAATCGAAAAATTATTTTATTGCTCAGTATAGAAAAAATTAAAAAAACTCCACTTTATACATTTTTTAGTGACTTTTTAAGAGGTGTTCTTACGAACCTGCTGAACACGAATGGATTTTATTTTATTTTTTAAAAAAACTGCCTTCAAGATATAGGTGACAATTCTGTTTTCGGGACTTTCAAAGTCTTTGACAGTAGTAATCTTGACAAACGTTATTTGTAAAATTAAATGGATACTAAACTGTATCCACTTAAAAATTTTTGAATTGAAATTTGCCCGCTTTTTCATCTCACGTCAAGAGAAAGAAAAAAATTAAAACCTATTCATAAAGGTCATTTTAAAGGCCAATCGCAATAGCTTTCAAATACCGCTACATTTATTTCGCTTTCTCTTTCCTTTCCCGAGATATTTGATTTTGTCTCTACTCTGGCATCCAAGCGGCAATGAGGGCTCTAGAACCGCCTGTGGTGCGAATGAAACTGTATCGGGACTGGCTGAACTCTCTCTCTCTTTTTCGATCGCAAAGCTCTAAAGTTCTTTTGGGCGGTAGTCGGACTCCTATTGCCCAGCTATTTATTATTTAGAGGACGGAAATGTGGAGGAATTATGCATCTCTGCATTTTTTTTCTCAACTACCTCGCTTCCGCAAGACTTAGGTTGAATTGCCAAAAAATAATCAGCCTCATTACGTAAGCCGTAAATTAGACTAAATTACACGACAGCATTTCCAGTGCCTACTTTCTTGCTGAAATAAGTAGACGACGAAAATTGTCGAAAACTATTCAGTGTTGAAAATAAGTCGAGTCGAAATTTCAGCAAATGCCATGCATGTAATTTTCGATACGACTCGACTCGAAAAACGACTTGCACTCGACACGACACTCGCATAGAGGCTGATTGAAGGCTACACCTTCTACAAGTACTAACAAAATTTTGGAATATGAACTGTAGAAAATTTGTAAAATTTATATTTTAGAATTAAAAAAAACTATGGCAACTCTAATCTTAAAAATACCAAGAACAAACAAAAGGTAGTTAATTAAGACATGTTTTAATACTAAACATTTTTTAAAATAAAAAATCTTATTACCGCTTCTTAAAAACTCGATGGCAACTCAGGCCAAAAAGTTGAATGATTTGATCGTTGCATTAAAACTTTAAGAAACATTAGGTTAAGGTAGTAACATTTTAAACCATCATTGGCAACTCTGGTCAGAAAGCTAAATTATTTGAACACTGCCCTACAAGTTTTCACGCTGCTGAAGAAAAATAAAAAGCACATTTTCTATACTTTTCGTTTGTTTTAAAAAAGAAAGATATAGCGTAGAGTTGCCACTTATATTTTAATACGCACTTTTCTAAAAAAATGTCTAACGTGTTCGCAAGTCGCTGCCATACCGCTATACTGCAATTGATTTGGAGCTTTAAGGCTCCGATTTTTATCAAAAACAGTTATTTTAAAAGTAAATCCAATTATTTCTCTCAGTGCTTTTCTGCCTTAAGCCCATTAACTATATACACATTTACTATGTAACAGCGAAATTGCAAAAATCAATTGGGTACCATAAGCCGCATGCGATGACCACACTTTTTGCCAGTACTGGAATTACAACAAAAATCAGTCAATTGAAGCGTTTGCAATCGAAGTTGCAAGAACACAAATACAACAACAATATGTGTAAAATACGGCTAAGAGCATTGAATTGGCAAAAAGGTTGTAAGGTTTTGGACGAAAGAAGAAGTGAGCAGCAGAAATAGGAATGGCCAAGCCAAAGGCAGCGAGGACTTGCATGAAACAATCGAACAACATACTTACATTCTTCTGAATATGCATGGACATTAGGGTGATGAGTAAATTAGGGATTTTAATGACCCTTTTTTTTATTTTGAAATCAAAAAATTTTTGGTGCTCGCTCAAAGCTCTCAAAGTTTTCCATCTATTTTATTTGAAAAAAGCAACTTTTCGTAGAAATGAATTCTTGAAAATCAATATTTTTCGAACGGAAAGCTCTGTTTCTCTTCAGGAGACTTCCTATAATAATACCCAATTTTTTATTTAACAATTTTTTAATACTAACTATTTTTTATAGGTCTCCCAACACACGCACACACACACACAAAATGCAATGGGGGACCCATAAAAAATCGGTTGTATTAAAAATGATAAAGTAAAGAATTGGGTGTAAAGTATTATTGGAAGTCTCATGAAATTTTTTCCCCATAAGTATATAATACATAAAAAACTTTGAGCGCTTTGAGAGATTTCTAAATATTTTTTGGTTTCGAAATAAAAACAGGCGTATTTTTTTGGCGTAGAACAATCCTAGGGGGTGGGAGCATTGAAAATTCCGACTTAACTTTTTTTGGACCACCCTAACGCACATACTACTCAAATTTTACTAGTGAAATCAGCAGGGCAAACAATATGGAAGAAACAAACTCACCAGCAGAATAGAATCGAATGGACGAGAAGGAACAAACATGCAAGCAACAAAAATGTAAGCAGCAAAAATGTGCTGCGTCTGCAAGTATCTACTACGAGTACCTTGCATCACTATTTGCAACATACATACAAACATAAATACGAGTATATATACACGCAAAGCTGTATTCACAATCAGCTGCAATGGCGCTACATACAAAATCCACCCTCTCTCATTCCGGTTGGGGGTTAGCGTAAACTGAACGAAGGTAGATATTTTTTTTTGGGGTGGGTGGGGGGGGCTCAAAACAGAGAATGTGGCATGCGCCAATGCACAAATCAAACTAAACTTCCAGACAAAAAGCAAATGCTAAGGGAGAATGAATCAATGGGGGCCATAGAAACGACAAACATAAATTCATTTTGCAGCGCAACAAAACGAATACCCTATTTACTCACAAAAACCAAAAGTTACATAGAGTCGACATTTGTGAGTGTAATATCCACAGCAGAGTGCAGTACGTACAACACGTACGCCAATCGCATTCGCTAGCCTTCGCGCCCTTAGCAGTGCAAGCGCACTGAAATTGGATGTGTACACGTAAAAAGCTGGAAAGAACTGGCGCTGGGAAAGTAGTGGCAGTGGGGAGAGAAAGTAATGTTGCAAGTAGGTATGTATGTATGTATGTGAAAATGCGGGCATCGAAGTACATACATATATTTTTTTCTGGAAACAGCGCTTAGGCGCAACGAAAGTTTCTACTGATGACGAAACTGTTGCGAAGTGCAGACGACGCTTTTGGGAGACGATGTATGTATGTATGTAGTTGCAAAATGATTGCAACATAAGTAATAACTAGCAGACGCCACTGTCAGGCCAGACGGTGCAATAATGTTGACACTAACAAATAATGTTGGTTGTCGCTGCTGCTTTGCGGCGGCTACAATGAGCTTATATATGTATATGTATAAATAAATAATATAAATATGTGCACGGTTATATTAAGTAAGTAAATATTTACTTACTTGAGGCAGCAGTTGAAGCGGGGAAAAAGAAAACTTTCACTTTTCTATGGCGCGTAGAATTCTTGAGTGATTTGTGAGAAGCTGAAATTTCAAGGAATTTATGCAATGATTAAAAGTGCATAGCAATAATATGAAATGTTTCTCTAAAATGGAGAGAAATGTTTTTTTTTTATTGAAAAACGGAAAAATATGATCTATCAATCAGGGATGCTCTCGCTTTTAGTAGTATTACCGACTTCCGTTTTCGACCGGAAGTGTATTAAACCGAACGGAAATTATTATTTTTAAATAGGACATACTTTTTTCTGGAATGCTCTTCCGGAACCCACTTCCGTCCGACATCAAAACCATTCCCCCCCCCCCCTTCTAGAGGTGGTGGAAGACGGGTGTTCTAGGATACCCTGTATTTGTTTTATAATTTAAACCGCATTCAACAACTTGCTGCTCCTTGAAGTATGCAACACTATTGAACAATCAATCGGAGGAGTCCGCTTGCAGCTATCCGACGACAGAGTCAGGTACTTAGGCCCGATCCTGGAGTTGTGGTGGTAACGAAACCATATGTCCTACCGCGTCCATGTCTGGTGGATCGGTTACAAGAAGCTGCCCTAATTGGGATGTACGGAGAACTCCCCATCGACACTAAGGGCTTCCGCTCAGGCTTCCGAACTGATGCAGTACTTTCCAGGTAGTACTAGCTGTCATTAAAGAAGCAGTGGACTTAGGGCCGGTTGTTCAATGTCTGGTTATCACTACCACTACACTACCGACGATTTCGACATCATGCATATAACATGTGATCGATAAAGCAGTCGGTGTACTAAACCGGAGCTTCTACCTCCGATTTGTGTTAATCAGACATTGAACAACCGGCCCTTAGTATTGTTGTGTGACGTCAGTTAAGGAGGTAAGCATATGATGACCAAGTGGTTGACAGAGCCCTGAACGCAAGTGCGCCGAGCTTATCTGGAAAAACCCCCGTAATCTAACCTAACCAAAAGCAATGGAAAAATGTGCTATTCGAATTCTCTCAAGGGTCACAATATTTTAAGCAGAAATGGGGGTTTTTTGAGAATTTTCGGTCTTTTAGGAATTTTCAAATTTGTATTTATATTTCAGTTTTTTCAAAATATATATCAAATATATCAAAAAGGAAAACGAATTTCATATTTACTGCCACCACCTTCTCTTTCGTTTCTCGAACTTTTTGACCTCCCCGGCGTAGACAAGACGGGGAAAAAGCCTATGCTATAAAGCTTATTTACCAGTTACGATAGTGCAACATCAACGAGAATAATAACATGCACACCTATGATCTAAGCGACAAAAAGGCGAACTCGAGTGGAGAGCAAGAATAGAACAGCGGAAGGCAAAGTAGTGGATGAAGAGGCTTTCGCATGAAAATTCATAGCGAAAGCACCACTGTGTATGCACATTCCAAAAAGATTCTGATGTAAGGGTTGCTATGCTCTCAGCAGCGTTGCATTGTTGGGTGGTGAGCAGAGCCATCTAAGCGCAGTCGAAAGGCGGTGCGGGCGGGGACGAGTAAATACCAAAAGTTGGAAAATGCAGAGAAAAATGTAGACTATGTTGCCAATACGGCAGCTAGCCACCAGCAACGCTACCACTACACTGGAAACTTTGTAGTTGTGCGTGTGTGTATTCAAAGTATATGTACATTTATATGTATGTATTTAGATAAGGGGGACTAGGACTGATGGTGTGCATATCCGTAAAATGGTGCTGTGCCGGCATAGATAAAATATTTTAATTTATTTCTGCCCACTTTTCGGTATTTTTTCCATGTGTATGTACTTACTACGCCTACTTTAGTTCACGGTTTTTTTTTTGCTGCTTACGAAATTCTCAGAACGTTGCAGTGGTATTTGTATTAATTGTATGCATAGACAGTGAAACTTGCCGTTGCATTCGAGCAATGTTTGTGAATAAAAATTGGTTTCAAACAAAGGTACCATAAGAAAAAAACTGAGAAAATAATAAAATAAAAATTGTTTGAAATGAAATAAAAAATAAAAAATTATTTAAAAAATATCATAATATAATATAACTTGAAATTACATAACAAAACATAGCTTTAAATTACTCAATGTAATATAACACTAAATTAGATTACATTAAATTAACATAACCAAACATCACTTATCCTAATACAACATAACATTAACCTCACATAATAGATTTTGGTGGGTTTAAGTCCTAAGGCTAACGATAGTTTTACACCTCGTAAAAAACATAACATAACATGACAACATAACATAACATAAAAACATAGCATGACATAACATAACATGAAAAGATAGTATGAAATAGCATAACATAACATAAAAACATAACATAAACACATAACATAACACAACATGATATTAAAATACATAACAAAACGTAACGTAATATCACATACATAACATAATAAAGCATACCCCAATATCACATAACTCCAAAATAGCATAACATAACTTAGTGGGTTAAAGTGCTACACCGACCAAGGCTTTCGATAGATTTACGCCTCGTAAAAAACATAACACAACATGACAACATAACATAGCAGATAACATAACATAACATAACATAGCATTAAGTTACATAACATAACGCAACCAACGTAACATACCATATCTTGACATAACATAATATCACATAATATAATGTCACATAACATGACATATCATAACTTCACAGAAGAATATATAACATAACCCAGCTTAATACAACATGGAAATTCTATAAAAATATCAGTCTATAAAAGCTATAAAATACATTACCCTTGTTGCTGGGCTATTTCTTAGCTTTTCGTTGATGACTCGAAAAGCACTTCACTGGCTGCAAATGTACATACATATGTATCCATAAACATACATACATACATATGTACATATGTATGTAAGTCTGTATGCTGGCTGGGTGTTTGAGAAATTCGGCTTGCATTTCTGGAGAATTTACATATATGCATACATAATATACATACACATACATATGTATGTATGCATGTACGTATGTATTTATGCACATATGAATTGCTAAACGCAACTTTTTATTGCTTCTATTTGCGCAAAAAACTTTATCCAAATTCACTTCACAATGCCGTTGTCGTGCATTCTTATTTCTGGCATACTTGACTTGACTGTATGTATACATATGTACATATGTATGTGCATGTGTATTTGCCTGTATGCTTTGTTTATCTTCAATTTAAACATTTATTTACTTTGCTATTGCTGCAACTGCAACAACAAATTGCTTTCTACGCCATGCCAAAAATATATTGTTGTATATTTCGGTGGTTTGTTGCTGCTATTGGCGTTGCCGTTTTTTGTTTTAGTGAATCTTCTTCTTTTTTTCTGCATTGTTTTTTGCGACTTATTGTATGCACTTGAAATTTTTTTTACAAACTTGTTTGTAGGTACGTGTGTAGGTACATATAAATATCAAGCAAAAGTATAAACTCATACACACTGCAGATAAATTTCGGTTGCTTTTGCTTTTTTGCTTATTTATTTTGCGGTTGCAAATGCAGTAGACATTAAGTTTTTTTTTTTTTTTACAGTCGAAAGTATTCTTGCACAGTCTCACGGCAAGGGGTTGGTTGTGCGCCCGTGCTGTGTGTGCCCCATCAGTTAGCGAGCAAGTCAAGCAACGTTCACAAGTGCTTTTGTTCGAGCGTAGAAAGGCTACCGTACATGGTCATATATTTATAATTAGTCAATTTTCGGAAGGTTATTTGAGGCGTCTCACAGAATTCGACGAAAATTTTTCAGACAGAATTTCGATCCATTTATTTTTATATTCAAAATATGTATCGTTTTAGTATGTATTTCTACCAGAATAAACCAGAAGGAGTTTAGAATTTTTTTCCCCAACACTTGTGCTTCCAAAGATTCAGATCTTATGACATGAATAATATTTCTTAGAGCATAAAAGCTCTCTAGAATTTCCTTCTAAGAATCCAAAGGCTGCAGCCCCAAGATTCCCTGCGAGACGCTTGCATGCCATTAGCGCTCTTATGGCTCTGGATGTCGTCACATCGACGTGTTCCTTCATTCGAGTGTGATGCCCAAATGTCTGACTTCCGAGACAACGTCGACTTGTGTACCATCGAGAGCTATATACTTCTCATTCTCGGTAGGGTTCTTCTTCTTGTGGATGAAATAACGGCTGTTTTTTCAGGATTATATCGCAGAGAATGTTCTCGAACTTTCCTCTTGCTATTATGACAATGTCGTCCGCGTAGCCTTGTCACCGGACTCCGTTGTCGGATGGCGTTTGCAGGAGTACATCTACTACCAGGCTCCAAAGGAGCAGCGTTAGTACTTCCCAATGTGGACACCATTTCATTGATTTTAACTGCAAGGAATTGTTCCCTATTTTGGTATCTGCTATTCTTGTTTGTAACAGCGCTTCTATCCACCTGCGATTAGGTGCTTGTACACCTCTCTTTTCTCTAGAGCCTGATATACCGCCTCATATTTAGTGTTCTCGAAAGCTTCGTCTACATCGAGGAAGGCACACAGAACAATCTGCACAGATTCAAACGCACCTTGGATTTCTGTGGTTAGCTGATGCAGGGCTGTCGTCATCGCGGATCTTCCTGCCCTGTACGCGTGTTAGCTACAGTCTAGGGCTAACTTTCAGAATGTTTGATCTGATTTCGTTGCCAATAATTTTCACCATCGTTTTAAGTACAAAAGAGGTTAAACTAATTGGTCTGAAGGATTTATTTGGCTAAGGAGTAATCCTTTTTACCTATCTTGGGTATAAATGTTAGCTGTGGTCTTCTCCAATTGGTCTACTAAGTGTTGGGTAACTAGATCTTCTCCCTGTTGTATTAATGCCGGATAAATTCCATCCATAACAGGCGACTTGTATCCATCAAATGAGCCCTGCGCCCGCTTGAATCTGTTTCGCGAGAATATACTCCTTGGAAAGACTCAATCACCTGGGGTTAGTCTAAATGTTCGATCAGTTCCCTTCACAGTCTGGTCGGATGAGTCTGGAAAATGTGCAGAGAGTACCTAGAACGCGTGCCCTTTCTAATTCGCTGCCCCTAATTACCAATAAACATGGATTTTAAGTGAATTAGCTTCGGTAATAACTGATATATCGCAGTTTTCGTATTTCTGTAAATATAACGGTAGTACTATATGCTTAATGGTGAGATGTATGGGATGGGACGTGGTTCCAGCCCGATTTCGCCCATTTTCAATACGAACCTATCTGGGGTAAAGGCCAACACACGTCTTAAATTTCGTTGAGTTATCTAGATTTTTGCTCGGATATCGAGACAGACATGGCTTAATCGGCTTATCGCTTCATTCTCAGCATTTAGGTACATGCTTACATATATGTCTATATCTACGTCGATGTATTTAGGCTGTTAATACAACCGTTAAGCGAACAAAGTTATAACACCATTTTACTATAGACACACCCACGGACACTATATTCTTCCGTTCATTCACTGAGCAGAAGAAATTCTTACTCAAACTCTGGCAAATGCTGTACCGGAAATGGAAAAACTTACTGTTGCAATTTTGACGATAATCATCTGCGACGCATAGCACAAAACTACATAATGCAGTCAAATAAATAACTTTCATTTTCAAACAAGTGAACAAAGTCAAAGATATACATAAAATGAAAAGCAAGAACAGCAACAAACAAAATAAAGTAAAAAGGAGCAGAATAACCTAAAACAGCAGCACTAAAACACAGTCGCACACATGGCAAACGTGCCACAAATACTCGCCTTGAACTGCGAACTTGCAAACTTTTGCATTGCCGCTATTGTTATGATAGTTATTATTGGCATTGTTGTTGCTGCCAGCCATTACTTTTGTTTGCTAGTGCATATTTATAACTAAGCATGACGCAGCAATGCAGATGCGTCATAGCATTAACTTTTTTGTGTAAAAGTAAAAAGTAAAAGTTAAGCAAGTTGCAAAAAAGTAGCAAAAAAGTGTTTGCTTCGGCGGTGCAACAAATACGGGCATCAAATTGGTTGCATGTGGAGTGGTGGCATAAAATTCGGCAGGAGTGTGGCAGTCAACAAAAAGCGCAAGAATTTGTGGCACAGCCGGTGTATTGACTTCTTTCATGTGTGTGTGTGTGTGGCAAGGGGTATGTGGGATAAACAGACAGTCAAGCGGTCGTGCATTCAGATTGTGGACTCGCGATGTTTTTTTTTTTTTTACGAAGGCGTTGCGACAACCAGTTTTTTACTGTTTTGCTTGAATTTTTTTTTTTGATTATTTTTGATTTTGCGACCGTTTTGTTGTGGCAGCTTTTTTTTTAGCTACTCAGACAACCAAATTGGCGCGAGTTTGACGGCTGTACTACATGCGGCGCTTTTACACCCATTTCGCTGGCAATGACACTTGACAACGTGCAACACACGCTTGCATACAAAAATATGTGCGCATGTATATTAGGGTGGCTCAAAAATGCATTTCAAAAAAGTGTAGTCCGAATTTTAATGCTCTCAGCCGCGAGGATTATTCTATATAGAAAAAAATATGCCACTGTTTTATTTAGAAGCCGCTCAAAACGCTCGAGGTTTTCAATGTATTTTATATGGGAAAAACATTTTTGTACAAATGGTATAGAATTTTTGAAGACAAAAAT